ATGGAACATTATTGTCCTTGAGTGGGGTTGTCTCATGGGGAAACCTGGTTTTATTTTGACACTTACTGTAATTATAAAGGCATAAGAGAGCAAAAAATACAAGTACACATGTAAAAGTGAGAATAGCTTAGTGTGCCCTCTTACATGATGCTACACAATGAATATTTTTTATTGCTTGTTTCTTCTTTCCTTCTTAGGGCTTGTTAAAATTACTCGAAGGCACAATAGTAAACGTTCCAGAAAAGAATTCTCGGAAACTGCGTGGAGAAACGGTGCAGGTTGACACAACAAACATCCTATTTGTAGCTTCTGGTGCTTTTAATGGTCTTGACAGAATTATCAGCAGGAGGAAAAATGAAAAAGTGAGTGCATCAGGCTGTGTTTGAGCTGAAAAATTACCATCTTGATTACTGTTTGCAATACTGGCTTTTACAAGCCTTGCTGTATTTGTAAACACAGTAAATGTCTTTAATTCGGTAAATGCTGCTAAAAGCTATCATTATCTTAAAATACCTGGTCATGCAGTTCACTGTTTTGTAGATTATTGTCTGGGAGCAAGGTTCTGGCTGTAGTGTTCTGATAAAATGTGTTCCCTATCTCTAACACTCTAACAAAGGAGTGAAATTCAAGTTACCGTTCGTGTTAATTTGTGTAGCTTCCCATGTCAGCAAACTTGCCTGCATTTGCTTCCTTTATGAAGTGTTACTGGTATTTGTAAGCTTATCAGGACACGTTGTTAACCTTTTTTATTTTAAGAAAAACTTGCTCTTATACTGTTCCCTCACTGAGAAAATTCGATATTACAAGAAACTGATTGTGTGCAAGGGGTTTAATTTTACTAGACGTGTTTTCTTGAACTTGACTTAGTATATAATGACATAATCAGTCACTGCTAATTTTTTAATACTCAAGGCAAGTGATTTATTTACATAAAGAAAACTCAGTCCATACAGTTCTCTAAGCAGAAGATGTTTGTTTTGCAGTACCTAGGATTTGGGACCCCATCTAACATGGGGAAAGGCAGAAGGGCTGCAGCAGCAGCTGATCTCGCCAATATAAGTGGTGAGTCTGACCCCCAGGAAGATATTGAGGAGAAGGATCGCCTGCTGCGCCATGTGGAAGCCAGGGATCTCATAGAGTTTGGCATGATTCCTGAATTTGTGGGACGTTTGCCTGTTGTGGTTCCTCTGCACAGCCTGGATGAGAAAACCCTTGTACGGATTCTCACGGAGCCACGRAATGCTGTGGTTCCTCAGTACCAGGCACTATTCAGCATGGATAAGGTTTGAATTTTTATTTGATTACTCTTTGGTATTGTTGTTTATAAGTATAATGTTGTTTTCAGTAAMGCTTACACTCCACATGGTTCTAAGTGAAATAATTAACTGAATTTAACCATTYTTCTCTGTGTAGTGTGAACTAAATGTAACTGAAGATGCATTGAAGGCTATAGCCAGACTGGCCCTGGACAGAAAAACTGGTGCCAGAGGTCTTCGATCTATAATGGTGAGTAAATTAAATCTTATAAACAGTAAATGAAGCTTCCTGGATTTGTGTGTATGGAACTAATCGTGACCATTTCCAGTCAAAACCACATTTAGTTCTGGCTCTTAGATGGATACAGTAAGTCTTTCTAAAACTGTGAGTATTCAGAGTTCTTCCAAGAAGACTCTGTAGCTCTGAAAATCACTTGCTTACGTAGMAGAGGGCATACAGAAATATTTTTCCCTGTATTTTGTTGTAGGAAAAGCTGCTGCTGGAGCCCATGTTTGAAGTGCCCAATTCTGACATCGTATGTGTGGAAGTTGACAAAGATGTTGTAGAAGGCAAAAAAGAGCCAGGATACATTAGGTAAAACCGTAACAGAAGTAGCAGAACAGACCAGTAATACAACTAGACAGGTATTCTGATGAAATAAACACAAATGCACACAACCTAAAAGAGATCCAGTGTTCTGTATATTGTACACAGCTGAATTAGGGCCTGTTCTGTCCTAAAGATTTCGGATTTGTATTGCTTTGGTTTTTAAACAGAAATTTAAAAACAAATGTATGTGAAGTTACTTTTGTTTGTGTTTACCTGTAGAAATAGAAGTAAATTTTAAGTTCACAGTAAAATGTTACAATTCAGTTGTGACTGTACTGAAATTTCTGAAATGGACCTATCGATTTCTACCACTGCTGTGGGGTTTTTGATACAAGCTCTGGTACTGTTTTCTGTGTTACTCTTGGAGCAGTGGAGAGCCACAACGGTGCATTTATTGATTTGCTGAACTCTTGTTAAAATAATCAATTTAGCGTTGTAGAGATCATGGAAATGATGTGGAATGTTGAAAAGAATGGACAAATCCGGATTTTTTTAAAAACAACTATTTTAGTGAATGAAGGATGGAGTTGAGAGGGAATGGGTCAGATTAAAACTGGTTAAAAAATTACTTCTCAAATTTCAGGTCTGAAATTTAGGAACTGTGTTTTGGTTTCTRCTACTGTCAATGCTTTTTGAGTGGCTTTCTCCACTAAGGTACATGTACTYATTTCAGCACCTTGTCTGTGCTGAAGCTTGGCTCAGCCTGGTGTGATGGAGGGAGTACTGACTGCACTGATGGTAGCTTTAAGTGRTTTTGAATAGCACCAGAAATACTCAATGTATTGATTAAATCAAACAGCCTATTGAAAATCAGAAGGTGAATTGAATGCAGTTAATGGGATTGTGTGCTGGTGGCACTGCAGTTGTGCACAGCAGCATTTCCAGATCAGAAGGTCAGAACTTTTGTCCCGGGGCATTGTGTACGTGCCGTGTTTGTCAAAAGCTGTGGAAAGKRTCTCTTACTCAGTGTCTAAGGTGTSTGATCATTCCTTYCAACCCCAGGGCTCCCACGAAGGATTCTTCAGAAGAGGAGTATGACTCTGGAGTGGAGGAGGAAGGCTGGCCTCGACAAGCAGATGCTGCAAACCATTAAACACTCTCAGAACCCTCACCTGCAAAAAGCTCACTCAGTTCTTTCGTTACGATTGCCTCCGGACTCAGCCTGGTCCTAAAGACACCGGATCTGTCTCGGATTCCTGATGAGGAACTTCATTAGCTAAATCAGATCGTGTACTTACTGCAGCATCACATTGATTGATGGACAGAGTGTGGACTGGGATGGCATAATGTTCAAATATGAATTGTATATTACACTTGTTCAATTAAAATGTATAGCAAATGTAGCAGCACCTGCATTGCCCTTGCCAGAAATTCAACCTGCAGTGCAGGTGCTGCCAATAGTTAGATTTAACAATAATGTTACTCTACAAATGGGAAATCAACATTAATAATTAGTAGAGGGTGAGTAAACTTATCTTAGCTCCTGGTAGGGCTCACAGGGGGTGATGTTCAGGTCAGTGTTAGATTCCTGCTGGCGTGTGAAACCAGCGGGTSCTGGAGTTAGTTGTTACATTGGTGGGGGAGGAAGCCCTTTTGGAAAAACTGGGACACACTTTATGACACTGCTGGGAGATTCTGCTGAAAYGTGACACTGGTTTGTTACAGTAATTTGAATATGGAATAATACMCTTCACATCTCCGTTGGGAGCTTTAGTCACCTTGGATACTGTGAAAGAAGGTGAAGTCACTAATTTTCCAGAGGGGCAAACAAGATTCCTAGGAAGCAGTAAAACCGTCTGAATTTGGATGAGAAGTCGCCATAAATTTTTAAATATTAATGTTCTAATATAGTACATTTTGTTTAACRTATTGGAACTATCATGCATCAATTTTTTGGTGCCAGGTATTTGCCCAACCTATCTTATAATGTTAAGAGATGAAAGAATTAAATGTATAATATTTTTGCTGTAATCAGTAGTGATTGTTCACATGACAGTGCTTTTTAAGTTATATTCTCAAATGCTAGTATTGCATCTTGTGGGTTTGTCTTTGATTTTTTAGTCTCACAGCAAGCAGTCCTCCATCTGTTCTCCACCACAATTAATTCAGTCCTTTAAAAATTCTTTGTAAAAACACTAAAGGACCTGTATGTTTTTGATTTGTTTCAGGAATTAAAATTGTCGCTTACAACTTTGTTTTGTCCGGTGAAAATGTGGACTTGAGTTTCCCTAAAACTTTAATTCACACTATTTAAATAAAACTTTTCATCCTTCTTTTCAGTCTAGTGGATGTTTTAGGACAGGAAAGGTTACTGAAAATCTATTGACCCTATTTTTGTCATTAATTTTTGTCATGTAAATTCTGTGTAATACTTGTGTTCTTCCCTAGCAGCAGTGTGATATGCAATTGTAGCCAGGTGCAACAGATACTTCCCTTAGGATTTCAGATTTTTTCAGGTTCAATGACCCACTGATGGTTCAGAAAAAGCTGCATTTGGAGTTCAGGATATTTCTAGAAGCTTGGTCCCCTCCAACTGGGAATCTGTGGTGAACTATCTGTAACTGCATCCTTGCTTTCCTTTTTGTAGAGTGAAAAATATAACAGCTTTTAATTCTGAATCCTTTAATTCAAACCTTTTTTAAACAGATTGAAAATAACCACGACATTTTAGGTGAAACCGTTCAACAACTTAGTTTTGGAAGTTGTTTGGAATTCTGTAACCAAGAACTGTTTTTAAGGAAACAAAAATGCCGTGTAACTACAGTTTGTACTTCACCTTTGGCGTTTGAATAAAAGCGAATATTCAAGCAGCGGAACATTGTCTTCTCTGATGCCGTTCCTGCACATTTTGAGTTTTAGCGGTGGTTAACTCAGGGGAGGGAGAGGCGCGGGTCCTCCGGGCCGCCAGGGGGCGCTGTGGCGCTGTGCTGAGGCGGGCGCTGAGGGCTGAGGCGCTGTGCTGAGGCGGGAGCTGAGGGCTGAGGCGCTGTGCTGTGGCGCTGAGGGCTGAGGCGGGCGCTGAGGGCTGAGGCGCTGTGCTGAGGGCTGAGGCGCGGTCATGGCGGCTCGCTGAGGACTGAGGCGCTGTGCTGAGGGCTGAGGCGCTGTCATGGCGGCGTGCTGAGGGCTGAGGCGCTGTGCTGAGGCGCTGTGCTGAGGCGGGCGCTGAGGGCTGAGGCGCGATCATGGCGCAGCCGCCGCCGTTCCCCGCCCGCCTCCCGCCGCCGTTCCGCGCCTTCCCGCCGCCTTTCCCCGGCCCCGCTGGCCGCCCAGCGCCCTTCGCGGTGGGACCGGCAGCACCCCCGCCCTTCTTCTTGCCGCCACCGCCTGCAGGTGAGGGGGGACCGCGCTTCCCACCGGGCGTTCCCTGCTTGGCTGTCCCGCCGCGGGCAGCGGCCGCAGAGGAGGCGGTGCAGCGGCAGC